GAGCCGGTTAACAGCCGAGCGCGAGGGATCCTCCCACCTGTAGAATGCTTAGGGGGCTTCGTTAACAGTTTTAAATGTAACCGACTTTTAGGGCTATTCTCAGCTTCTTAAGGAGCTGATCCTGGGCGGCAGTTATGTGTGGGTTAAATGGGCACAACTGACTTGAAGCCTCAGCATCGGCTTGTAATGTTGCCAACGACGGACTCCCTCATTTGCTCAGTGGCTTCAGTGAGGGTTGAGGGGCAACGTTATGCATACCACGCGGGGAAAGTCTCGCTGATTTCACGGAGTCTGATTTCTTGGTTTGAATATTTAAAACTCCTCAATGCCTGTGATTTGAATTCTGCCTCAACAGAGCCTGTCCTGGAGGACTTTTTAGGCCCCGGATATCCCCCACCCCCTCCCCCGTCAGCCCAGGAACCCTCCGGACCTTCGGTTTTCTCGGCTTGCCAACGAGGCTTGCAAACTCGGCTCCTGCCAGGGAAGCAGCACCTTTTGGGACGGGCTCTGAGCAATTGCATGCTTTGGGGAAGGAGCTTCCCTGGCAGGAGCCGAGTTTGCAAGCCTCGTTGGCAAGCCGGGAAAACCGAAGGTCCGGAGGGTTCCCTCCTGCTGCGGAGCTGCAGTGCCTGGCCCTGGGCTGACGGGGGAAGGGGTGGGGGGGGTATCCGGGGCCTAAAAAGTCCTCCAGGACAGGCTCGGGGCCAGCCCTCTTTCCCCGGCCGTAGGAGAAGGGGAGGCGCAGGCTCTCCACCCGGGTGGGCAGGCGAGCAAAACCCTGAAAGCAGGAGGGAATCCTCCGGACCTTCGGTTTTCCCAGCTTGCCAACGAGGCTTGCAAACTCGGCTCCTGCCAAGGAAGCTCCTTCCCCGAAGCATGCAATTGCTCAGAGCCAGTCCCAAAAGGTGCTGCTTCCCTGGCAGGAGCCGAGTTTGCAAGCCTCGTTGGCAAGCCGGGAAAACCGAAGGTCCGGAGGATTCCCTCCTGGTTTCGGGGTTTTTCTCGCCTGCCCGCCCGGGTGGAGAGCCTCCGCCTTCCCTTCTCCTGCGGGGCCGGCCCCGAACCTGTCCTGGAGGACTTTTTAGGCCCCGGATACCCCCCCAACCCCTTCCCCCCTCAGCCCAGGGCCAGGCACTGCAGCTCCGCAGCAGGAGGGAACCCTCCGGACCTTCGGTTTTCCCGGCTTGCCAACGAGGCTTGCAAACTCGGCTCCTGCCAGGGAAGCTCCTTCCCCGAAGCATGCAATTGCTCAGAGCTAGTCCCAAAAGGTGCTGCTTCCCTGGCAGGAGCCGAGTTTGCAAGTNGAGGATTCCCTCCTGCTTTCGGGGGTTTTCTCGCCTGCCCGCCCGGGTGGAGAGCCTGCGCCTTCCCTTCTCCGGCGGCTGGGGAAAGAGGGCCGGCCCCGAACCTGTCCTGGAGGACTTTTTAGGCCCCGGATACCCCCCACCCCCTTCCCCCCTCAGCCCAGGGCCAGGCATTGCAGCTCCGCAGCATGAGGGAACCCTCCGGACCTTCGGTTTTCCTGGCTTGCCAACGAGGCTTGCAAACTCAGCTCCTGCCAGGGAAGCAGCACCTTTTGGGAAGGGCTCTGAGCAATTGCATGCTTCGGGGAAGGAGCACGGAGGCCTGCAGGCAGGCAGGCAAGCAGACGCTGGGCAGCACGAACTAAGCGGCGAGCAAAACCCCGAAACCTTTTGCATTCGTTTGCAAAGAAGCAGTGAAAGCCGGTCCAGCTGGTCGTCGGGGTGCGGAACTGGGCTGCAGACGCCAGGCCTTGCTCACCGGCAACGCTGGAGCCTCCCACACCAACCAGTAGGTCTTCTGTGCTGCTCCACTGGGACCGCCGGCTTCTGGCTGCATGGCTGCCTCCCTCCGGAGCTGTCTTTGCCCCCCCCGGGCTATGCACTACCGGCGTCTTCTCTTTGCAAACGAACGCAAAAGGTTTCCGGTTTTCACTCGCCCGCACGCCCGGGTGGAGACCAGAGTTGGTGGCTCTAACGTCCTACTATCATTGGCTGCAATCCTATCCACCTGTTTTGTCCAACCGATTGCAAGACGCTGGGCAGCACAAACTAAGCGGCGGCAGGAGGGACGCAGGGCCTTGGCTTGTTGCTTATCAAGACCGTGCTCAGTTCGTGCTGCCCAACGTCTTGTTCTGCCGCCGCTCAGGCCCCTTTTTCGCCGCTGGAAACATGCTGCATTAGCTGGCACCGCAGGGGGTGGTCCCATGGCAACGCTGACAGTCCGGGCCGTGCGCCACCGGTGTCTCCGGTCCCGAGCCACAGGAAATATCCGGGCCCAAGTTGTCCGCTGCAAGGACACCCCGCCCACGGCAGCGCCGCCAAACCGCTTTCTATGCCGCTGGCGTCCCCGGGCTGGAGCCGTGAAAGCCGGTCCAGCTGGTCATCGGGGTGCGGAACCGGGCCGCGGAGGCCAAGCCTTGCTCACCAGCAACGCTGGAGCTTCCCACGCCGACTGGTAGGTCTTCCGTGCCGCTCCGCTCGGACCGCCGGCTTCTTGCTACAGGGCTGTCTCCCTCCGGAGCTGTCTTTCCCCCCCCCCCGTCTATGTCGAGCCCATTGCGAACAGCGTCCCACAAACAGCGTCCCACAAACCAAAGAAGTTGAACCAATCAATTCAAACTTCTTTCGTGAGAAGTTTGAATTGATTGGTTCAACTTTTTTAGTCCTATTTTTTGGGGGGGGGGCACTGCACGTGGCTGGGAGCCGCAGGAGACGGCTGAAAGAGCCGCATGCGGCTCTGGAGCCGTGGGTTGCCGACCCGTGGTCTAGATATACAAACCAAAATATTGACTACAACTAAAGAATCAACTACACAGAACATAACAGAAGAAGTGGAACAATTAAATACTATGACAAAGGATTTAACTGACCAACAAATACAGTCAATGGAAAATCCAGAAAAGGGATTGACAACACTGAAAATGGAATATGAACCAGAAGAAACTTGAGGAGCAAGAAGAAGAACAGACCAAAGGGAAGACAAACATATCAGGACAACTATGGGGATTTGGAATAATAGAGAGATGATTTGCTAGCCATTCCAAAAAAATGGTGACTGGATGGTCTCTTTTATTTCAAGTGATATATATAATAACAGAGGGAGATCTATTTGATGACTTAAAAGCACTGACATGGAGGGCGAGCTGGCAAAGGAAGAAAGCTAGAATAAGGCTGAAGAAAATTGGGTTTTGGTTTATTAGCGAGGATTTTATATTACCAATTAAAATAGAATATACTTAAATAGACAAGATGCGTACTTTGAATACCAGATTTTGTTATGAATTGAGATAAAGAAAACTTTGGTCATTTAAAACTTGGAAGTATAAATACTAAAAGTTAAATTTGAATATTGATGGGAAATTAAAAATTGGGAAAAACAAATAAATAAAATATTGATTGTTTATAAAGATTGAATGTAAAAGTAATTAAGATATATAATAAGCTAAAAATGATAGCAGTGTTCCAATATCTCAGGGGCTGCCACAAAAAAGAGAAAATCAAGCTATTTTCCAAGGTGCCTGAAGGCAGGACAAGAAGCAACGGATGGAAACTAATCAAGGAGAGAAGCAACCTAGAACTAAGGAGAAACTTCCTGACAGTTAGAACAATTAACCAGTGGAACGACCTGCCTCCAGAAGCGGTGAATGCTCCAACACTGGAAGTTTTTAAGAAGAGACTGGACAGCCATTTGTCTGAAATGTTATAGGGTTGGACTAGATGACCTCCAAGGTCCCTTCCAACTTTATTATTATTATTATTATTATTATTATTATTATTATTATTATATGATCAAAATTCAATTTTAATATTATATAGTTAATCTCATAGATGTGACATCAGAGATTTCACAGTATTAGGGGAAAAATCCTCTCAGAATAAATTCAACAGTGATTGACACTAAGCTAGAAACTATAGAAGTATTGTTACAAATGCTCTGAAGAAGCTTAGGTTAACAACCAAGGTAATCTTGATGTTAATTAACTATTCAAACGTGCTGTTTTCTACTAACACACATGATAGTTAGCAGCTACCATTCTAAAATGAACAGGCAATATTTTTCATTGCTAAACAGAACACAGAGCGAACTGCAGAGAAACAGTAGAAAGATTATGTTGTCCTGAGTCATACTCACAAAGAACCATCTATAATGCAACAGAAGTCTATGGTTGCATATTAATGAAATAGCTATTATTTAAATTAGAAAAGCTTACTCCAGAAAGCCTGATCAATTTTTAGAGTGAAAGCAATATAAACTATAATATTGCACTATTTCTGTTGTTATATTTAATTGAAAACATGCCAGGTCAATATATACAGAATATAGTAATATATACTTTGTACATACTGTAGCAGGAACAACCCCAGATTTGGCTCAGAAAATATTAGGTCTAAACTCTGGCACAGTTGAAGTAATCACAAAGATAATACTCAGATGGATAGTTCAATGATCTGATACAACATATGGCTGTGCTATATGCTTCTAATGATACGTTACTTGGAAAAATAAAACTATGTGGAGCTTATAAATGCAGTAAACTGAGACTGGCATTTAACTTTTTTTAAAAAGCATAAATTTTGATGTATTATTTTTCTAGAAATGAATGCAACTTATATTGTTGGTAGATACCAGAAGAGACTGAAGAATCAAATAAAACAAAAGCAACAACAATATTTTGTAAATTTTAATTCCAACCACACAAAGTGAACTGTTCGAAAAATACAGACATTAAAAGCCCAACACTTAGTAATGCTAGAATGTTGTCTCAGATCAAGAATATCAGGACATTAAAAAAAATAGCATAACTCTATTGTGTCTGCAGAATGTTTGTCAAATAGAAAACTATCAAACTATTATATAGGTAATCTTCCAAAGATCCAAAGTAATCATGTCACTGCTGCTCGTTTCCTGCCTTAGACCAAAACCTGACTCTGAAGTATCCTAATACATGCCTCTCAACAAACAGGAGCACCACTGACCTCGTACTGTATCAGGAGGAGCCTCAGTACTAACTAATCTCTGCCCAGCACACATAGAACGCAACATCTGGAAGACAGCCAAAGGTGCCACATTCATGCGTAGAAGATCCAGCAGAATCCTAAGGAGAGAAAATAAATGCTAAGAATGTAATATTTTCATTTATTATTTGCAAACAGGATTTCTTGATTACAGTACCTGAAATCAATTGTTTCTGGGTCGTTAAATAAAATTAACAAGTGTTTAAAAGAACTGATGGACTACAGTACTCCATGACTCAAATACATACATGTTTCGGAACCCCACCCCAAAAATATAGAAACAAGAGAATCCTTTCCAGTTCAAGTTTTATTTCATGTAATAATGTATTTGAGGATTTTTAGAGGTAACCAGCCTTTCCACTACCAATCTTTCTGAATCTAGTTTAAACTATATCTGAGATTGACTTATGCTGTTTTGATTATTTCCATCCTGTTGCTACATCAGAATACTATAAGTTTATAGTCTTGGATTCTTGTTCTTCTAAAGAAGCATTGATTATGCAGCAATTACTCTTTCTAGACCACGGGTCGGCAACAGGCGGCTCCAGAGCCGCATGCAGCTCTTTCAGCCGTCTCCTGCGGCTCCTAGCCACGTGCAGTGCACCCCCCAAAAATAGGACTAAAAAAGTTGAACCAATCAATTCAAACTTCTCATGAAAGAAGTTTGAATTGATTGGTTCAACTTCTTTGTTTTGTGGGACGCTGTTTGTGGGACGCAGTTCGCAATGGGCTCGACATAGACGGGGGGGGGGGAAAGACAGCTCCGGAGGGAGACAGCCCTGTAGCAAGAAGCCGGCGGTCCAAGTGGAGCGGCACGGAAGACCTACCAGTCGGCGTGGGAAGCTCCAGCGTTGCTGGTGAGCAAGGCTTGGCCTCCGCGGCCCGGTTCCGCACCCCGACGACCAGCTGGACCTGCTTTCACAGCTCCAGCCCGGGGACGCCAGCGGCATAGAAAGCGGTTTGGCAGCGCTGCCGTGGGCGGGGTGTCCTTGCAGCGGACAACGGGCCCGGATATTTTCTGCGGCTCGCGGCTCGGGACCGGAGACACTGGTGGCGCACGGCCCGGACTGTCAGTGTTGCCATGGGACCACCCCCTGCAGTGCCAGCTAATGCAGCATGTTTCCAGCGGCGAAAAAGGGGCCTGAGCGGCGGCAGAACAAGATGCTGGGCAGCACGAACTGAGCACGGTCTTGATAAGCAACAAGCCAAGGCCCCGCGTCCCTCCTGCCGCCACTTAGTTCGTGCTGCCCAGCGTCTTGCAATCGGTTGGACAAAACAGGTGGATAGGATTGCAGCCAATGATAGTAGGACGTTAGAGCCACCAACTCTGGTCTCCACCCGGGCGGGCGGGCGAGTGAAAACCGGAAACCTTTTGCGTTCGTTTGCAAAGAGAAGACGCCGGTAGTGCATGGCCCGGGGGGGGGGCAAAGACAGCTCCGGAGGGAGGCAGCCATGCAGCCAGAAGCCGGCGGTCCCAGTGGAGCGGCACAGAAGACCTACTGGTTGGTGTGGGAGGCTCCAGCGTTGCCGGTGAGCAAGGCCTGGCATCTGCAGCCCAGTTCCGCACCCCGACGACCAGCTGGACCGGCTTTCACTGCTTCTTTGCAAACGAATGCAAAAGGTTTCGGGGTTTTGCTCGCCGCTTAGTTCGTGCTGCCCAGCGTCTGCTTGCCTGCCTGCCTGCAGGCCTCCGTGCTCCTTCCCCGAAGCATGCAATTGCTCAGAGCCCTTCCCAAAAGGTGCTGCTTCCCTGGCAGGAGCTGAGTTTGCAAGCCTCGTTGGCAAGCCAGGAAAACCGAAGGTCCGGAGGGTTCCCTCATGCTGCGGAGCTGCAATGCCTGGCCCTGGGCTGAGGGGGGAAGGGGGTGGGGGTATCCGGGGCCTAAAAAGTCCTCCAGGACAGGTTCGGGGCCGGCCCTCTTTCCCCAGCCGCCGGAGAAGGGAAGGCGCAGGCTCTCCACCCGGGCGGGCAGGCGAGAAAACCCCCGAAAGCAGGAGGGAATCCTCTGGACCTTCGGTTTTCCCGGCTTGCCAACGAGACTTGCAAACTCGGCTCCTGCCAGGGA